GGAGGGCAGCGCGGCGGCGGCTGTCAGGGCCTCCGGCGCCGCTGCGTGCGCTCCCCGGGGTTGCTTCATCGGGCGTGCTGGATGTGGCAGACGAGACAGAGAAGCCGGCCCAGCAATCGCTGCTTTGCTCGCCCCGCTGAAGTGCTTTAATGAGTCGTTTGCTTGGGAAGCGAGCTCTGCACTGGCTGCAGTTACTTTTCTAAAGCTGTGTGTTATTTAGTGCATGCAGGCTTAATAGATCCACTAATTTAATGCAGCCCCTTTGATACCGCAAGCGGCCTTTGCTGCCATGGCTGTGGGGCGGGCCTGCGCGAAGCTGGCATGGTTGGTTGTCTAGAAGCTGTATGAAGACCCAGGCATGGCTAAAGAGTGCACATCTGCTGCATGGAAAAGAAAGTATTTCTCTGAAAGTTACTGCATGTTTCTTTGAAATAGGGGGACACAGAAATTCTTATTGGAGATCTTTGTTTTTCTGCATACTAAGTGCTTGAAATAAAGCAAGCTTATCTCTAGAACTCGGTGGGATTATTTCTAAGCACTCGGTAAATCTACTGGAAATAGATTGCATTTTTCATCTGTTTTCTTTGGGAGGGTTGTAATGTTTTCCTTTCTGTAGGAGATCATGGTGGCCCAAAGGGTTTCTAGAATACATTTGCTGTTCTCCATTCTGGCTGCATTCGTCATCTCTGCCCTAGCTGAGGAACACGTAGGAGAGAGTCAACATGGAAATATTCGCCTTGATAAGAACTTGGTACAAGATAAAGAGTATGTGTTCTGTGTTCTAAAAATGTAAACTTTGCTTCTTAATGATTTGCTTATCTCTTAAGTCTTGTTATGTGAGTTGGACGTAAGCCTGGGAACCCTTTTTCCCAGGATCTTGTATGACTGCCTAGAGTCAGATGAGAGACATGTTTGTTCAGTAAGTTTGTAGAGTTTTTAGACTTAGAAAGGTCTCTCTGGACCCTTTAGCCCTACTCATAAAGACTCTTCTACAGGAATCCTGCTTACCTAGACCAACATTATTTTAGACAAAAGTCACATTCTGAACAGGTAGAGTGAGAAGGGGGTTTTCTCATTTGCTTCTTCATACAGACAAAACAGTGGTAGAATAAAAATCCCTAGAATACTGCGTATTTGACTGGGAAAGATCTTCCTTCAGTTCCTGCTCTTTGGAAGACAGCTAGAGGAGATTCTGGGCACTGCTTCAGTTGTTTTGATAACCCGCTAAGTAGGCCAGAAGAAATAGAAATAGCTATCTAAGGCATTAGAGACCACTACAGCACCTGTAACAACCAACCTTTATGCCCCCTTTGTCTTAGTATAAAACAGTAGCTTTCAGTTGTCCAGGGTGCTTTTAGAGATATGATGTTTCCTGTGTACGTGACTGATCAAAGACTAAATCTGATGTAAACAGAGCATTAAATATTAACTGATGGCTATGTTATGAAGTTTGTTTGGGTTTTTTTTAATTAGCCACATCATGGAACATTTGGAAGGTGTTATTGAGAAACCAGAATCTGAGATGTCTCCACAAGAACTGCAGCTTCATTACTTCAAAATGCATGATTATGATGGCAATAATTTGTTAGATGGGTTAGAGCTTGCTACTGCTATATCACATGTCCACAAAGAGGTAGGTGGAATTTTGTGTTGGCATATGTATTTGGAAACAGTTCTGACTCTCTAAAAACAGTTCATAGTAAAACAGTTACAACACATCTTCAGTGCACTTACAGTTTTGCCTGAAAATAAGGTTATTTCCCCCCCTGATAATTTTGTTTTGATTTACAAATATGCTAGCTTTATCACAGCTTTTCATGGCACATTGCAGTTTTTAAGAAGTCTCCATTGTAGTTTCAACTTTAGAGTGAGGAAGGACTGTAGAGTGAACATGATTGGTCAGAGGGGATACTTTGGTAGGCAGGGATGGGGAGAAATTAAAAATAATCCAAAATGGGATAGTGCTCACAAGGGCTTATAGAACTAGCACGTGATACGATGCTCTTTGAGGTTCTAAGACTGTTGGTTTTAACTCCAAACTGTTACTGTTGTGATTACATGAACCATAAGCAACCTCTTGCAAAAAAATTAGTATTAGAAGAACCGATCATGGTCTGCCTTTGTTTTAAACATGAATTCTCTTTCCAGCTAGGAACATCTAAGGACAAGGTAGGAAGATATAATCATTAGGAAGACAGAACTAACACACCATCTCATACTGACTTTTTGGTAGTTACAATTCAGGCTAGCATAGCTTCCTGTTTACACCATTTACATCATTACACATTCTGCTATTCAGCTTTTAGAACTTTTGGCTAAGAATGTTAACTGGATACAGAGTGCTTGTTCTGAAGCCCAGAGAACTTGGACTTCATAGGCTTGCACCTGGTAAAAGTTGCTTATCCTGGTATAAATTATACATGAAAGTTGGTGCTGAATTAGGCACTGAACATGAATAGCTTAACAAAAAACTGGTCAGGAATCTGTGACATGTGCCACTAGATTGGAAACAATGCTAAACTGTTCAATGTGGTTTTGGGTTTTGTAGGAAGGTGGTGACCATACGCAGGCAATGAAAGAAGAGGAGCTGATTAGTCTAATAGATGATGTCTTAAGAGATGATGACAAGAACAACGATGGATACATTGACTATGCAGAATTTGCAAAATCACTGGAATAGCCCCCCCAAGCAGGGGGCTTATTTCTCCTTCTAACTAACTACATAGAAATGTGAACTAGTATAATGTGATTCATTACTGTCTTTTATCAACCTCTGTGCTGTGAGAAGGAGAGGTGGACTAGTTCCAGATGAATTTATTTGGAAGTTGTATGTATTAAGAGACTGGCTAACTCAGAGCAAGAGCCATGTTTGACTTTGTATCTTGAAGCATCAGTAGTACTCACATAGGGTACAGCTGGCAAACTCTTAAGTAGTTGTGTATGAATACTAAAGAGATCACATACAATCTAAGTTCGTATTTTTGTGTCATTGGGTTACATAGTATTTTTTTGCTTACATCTTCCATTTAAACTTACAAAATACCCAGTAAGCAAGAGAAGATTACTGCATATAACTGTATTTCAAGGACAAATATTTCTACCTTCCCACTAATTTCAAAGGAAATTTGCACATAAGTACCAGGTGCTTGAAACAGCAATTTTAGAGGAAGAGTCACTTACATTTGAGGTCCACATGATACCTATGGACTTTTAAAACAATCTTTGAAGAAATCTAGTATTTCTGAATATACCTATATCCTAGCATACCCTTGTATTTCACATATAAATATATATATATGTTTTTCAATTTCTTCTCAACTTTCACAGATTTACTTTTTATATCTTAATTTACTGATTTTTTTTTCGTCTACCTTCCATGGTGTTTTCTTAAAAAAATGAAAGTATTTTTATTACATTTATATGTTGTATTAACGCTGTATAGCATTTACTAGCGTAACTTCTGCTATCTCATTTTGAAGGTCACAGTAACAGTAAACCAGTTTAATACAAGAGTTTCTGTTCAATTTGGTTTTTACAGTATTAGCCAGCAGGATTATCTAGGTGAGAAGATAATGCTGCCTTGTTAAGGTTCAAGTTCATATTCCTTGACGCTTAAATTATGGTATTAGTTTCAGGAGGTATTTCATAACTAAGAGTCTCAAGGTACTTGAGTGTTTGCGAATTAACTTGGTTCTAGGAATGTTTTCACTGTCTTGACTCAGTATTTGGTAAACCAAGCAGTGTAAGGATATTGGGGAAGTGATGTATTGCTGTGTTATTGGTATTTGATTACTTTAGAACATAACCAAAGTCTTAAATTGCATTCAATCATTATCCAGTAATAGAAAATCTAAATGTTAGTGTATTTCTGTAATATGTATAAAGAGCTATTTTCTGTACAAAATTATTCTTATACAAGAGAAACACATTTGTAAAAGAAATTATTTCCTCTGTTTAAATGTTTGTGCAATGACTTTTAAGTGTCCGACTTTTTTCTTGTGCTAATTATTTATTTTGATAGCTTTGGGGGCAGGCATTATGCTGATTATACAAGCAATAAAAATAAGTTGGGGCCTGTGCACTCTGGACCTAGACACACAAGGCTGGAAGTCCTAGTGAGGAATGTACCTGATTTTCTGATCTATTTTTAAGTCAGTCTCTGTTACTAGAAAGAAAGTTCTTTCAGTTAAATTTTTTTTAAATACCTCTTTTCAGGATATTTAATCTGGAGTGAATGTTGAATCAGAAGAAAGTATAAAAAATGGTTGTGGGTAGGAGGGGAGAAGAGGTTAAGCTCCTTGGCTTTGAGCACTCAAAGCAGCTTTCCTGTAGACCTCCTGCCTCTTAAATGCTTATTGCGTAAGCCTCTTGAGTTTTGGATTTATTTGGGGTAAAAAAGCAAGACCAAGAAACTGACTTTTATGCACTTCTCCTAAAAGTCATGGTTGTCTTACCGAGTGCAGTCTATAAACCTAGTCCAGCATCCACCTGTGGGGCACATTCATACACATATGCTGTATTTAGATACATGTTTATTAACTGGTATCCTATGTGGCAAGACATGCACCATAGAAGCTTTATATCAGAAACAATTACGATAAACGCAGTTAATGTGAACATTATTTACCAACTATTTTAAACTTGGTTTTAAGGGTTCCAAATTATGTATAAATAGAAGAATTAACTTACTGAGAGTGGAGAGCAAAATTGTCACCTTGGATTTCATGATGCATGAAGAAAGACCAAAACAAAATTTCTTCTTTCGTGGAAAGAACAGTCCAAGAAATGCCACCCAAGCTGAAACCTGCATCATTGCATCTTTACTCAGCCTCCTAAACCAAATACACATACTTAATTAAGTGCACTTAAAGATAAATGGTTTAACAGCTGTCTAGGAAGCTTTCTCGGTTACTAAGAAGCACGGTGCAAAATTGCTGAGAGCAATGGTGAGTCAGACTTTTTTTAAATGTAACTAATCCTCTGCTAGTTGTGGCTCTTGCAGCACCCTAAATACAGTAGAACAGGTAATAGATAGATAGACAGTATTTTCTATTCATATATATAATACAGGAAATACATCTTTACAGCAGAAGTACTCATCAACTATAAAGCTATTTTAGCTTCCACAGAACAGTACTATTTCCATTTCACTGATAACAGCAGAAGGGTGTATGATTTACTGAATGTCAATTACATCCCTGGGAGAAACAGAAAATAGGAAGAATGATCTTGTTCATGATCTTCACCCCTTCCTAGACTATGAACCCAAAGGATGGGGATTAGTTTTCCCCACTGGAGAAGAACACATCTGGCCCTGCACTACTCTGTGCTATTGTGCCCAGTTTAAAGTATCCAGATTATCTGCTTTTATCTCACAAAATACTGCATAATCTAAACAGCTAAAGAAAATACTTGAACTGGTTCTTGACTTGGTTCTCAAATTTCTTCCTATTTTGAGCAGGTTTTTATTAGTCAATCTAGGTCATAGTCTCTATACGAAGGAGAAAAAACAACTGCTTGCCCAGTGCCAGTCAGGATGCTGTTAATGACAAGAATGACTGCCCAGAATGTCCCAGCAACAGTTTGATCAGCATATCCACACAGACTTCGCTACCTTTTTTTTTGTTATTATATTAATCACCTATAGCCTCCAACAGTCTTAGATTCGTTAAGGAATGGTTACAGACTTACAAATCTTCATTTTGTCTAAAGTACTTTTTACTACAATTCACAAGCAGAAGAGATTCAGGAAAAATGTCATAATCGATACAGCCACTAGATAGCGTTCTGACACTGCACACTCGTTCTCTGTGGTCTCTAAGCTGGAACTGTGTCACTAACGTGCCTGATTACAGGCAAGGCTTGCTCGTTTGTCTTCCAACACCGCATTGCCAATACAATGCCCACATTTTTATTGGTTTACACCTGACAAAAATTAACCATACCTGAGGACCGTTACTGGTAATTTTCATTGTTTAGGGAATCCAAATTAACTTGAAGTGATAGTAAAGAAACTAGCATTATAATATTGTAAGTACAAATAATTGTGCAACAGGAAGGCTTTCTAATAGAAGCACCAGGCTTGGCCTGACTTTCTTGATCATCTGTGGTTGACCTATCTACAGTGGTCTCAACCAACATTAAAGAACATTAGAGGGGTTTAGGAGGACCTGAAGTCTTACAGGTTTTGCATTAGATGTCAGTAAGAGCTCCTGTCACTGTTCTTACAAGTCATAGGTCCAGTGTGGTCTGACCAGCCATTTTTGTTTAAGGTGAAGTCTTTTATTTCCTCTCCCCCATCACTGTCTCACTGACTGCCCATTGCACCATGAAACAGCTGCATAATGTTCTAAGGTTATAGTAGAAAAGATAGGGCAAGGATCATTGCATGTCTTAGTCTGGATTACTTATTATCAGAAGGAATTTGTGTTCTAGACATTTCATCTGCACAGATCCTCTGTGCACAATGAATGAGACCCATTATAAGGGCAGTTACTGCTGACTTACAGAAGAGTTCTCTGAAGTTACACTTTTCTTCCCATTCTTCATGCTAAATTCTGAACAGTAGCCTACGTCTTCAGGGCTAATACATACTGTAATTGTCAGTACCTTCCTCAGCCGAGCAGCAGCTCTACACGTAGGTAGAGGGCAGTATAACATATGACTCAAAGTCTGCTGCCAGATATGGCATTTTACAAGAAATCAGTACTGCACTGAACATAGTGTCCACCTCTGCCACTTGATATGAGTGACTGACAGAACTGGATTTCAAGAAGGCAGATAGATAGCAATAAACTCAGAGAATGGGTAGGGAAGCTCTCATAGGAGGCTAATCTAAGGGAAAAACAAATTATGGACAGCTGTCAGTTCCTTCAAGAAATGCTAATAAGAAACTAAGTATAACATCTGCCATCATAGAGGAAAGTAAGGAAATTCAGCAGAAGTCAGCTAATTTGTAACCTTTTAATTGACCGCAAGCATAAGAGAGAATCTGTAAAGTAGAAACTAGGTCAGCTGGTTGAGAACCCAGCATAATACTCCACTAACTGGGGAGGATGGTGCAAGCAGTTCATAAAGACAAAATGCACAAGATGCAACTAGCAAAACTTAACAAAAGTAAAAGAAATTTTACAGCTAAGGTGGTAAGAGAAAAACAAAGGGAAGTTTGGACCACTGCTCAAAGATCAGGGGGTACCATCAGCAGAGGACATTAAGAAAGCCAAAGAGTTTAATGTCCTTTTTTTTTTCTCCCTTTTTCATCAATTTTTTGCTAAAAAGGTCAACAGAAAGCAACTATTATCAGGAAAAAGGAGTAACATTTCAGCCTACAGTATGCAAAACCTGCTTAGAGAGTAACCAGTTCAGTTAGATGTTTTCCAGTTGCCTGAGCCTGATTAGCTTCACTCTAGGAGTCTTAAAAGGAGAGTGGAATCACGGCTGCAAATGTCACATAGCTTGAATTTATTTATTTTATTTTTTGCAAGGCCTTTAGCAATACTTCCTATAATATCCTCATGAACAGGCTAGTGAACTGTGATCTATATGAAACTGCTGTGGGAAGGGGCAGGAGGTCAAGTCTAGTTGGATAATTGTCTCCACAGTGTAATTCCATCGTAATCTCTCAAAATACATGTGTTTTGCAAGGAATTCTGTGGACCTCATTCCCATATCAAGTTTTAT